GGGAAGAGACTATTTGAATTAGAACTATATTTGAATTGCAGAGTACATTTGAATTATGTAAGAGAAAAAGAAGAGCTAATGGTTCACTCACTGCTCTCTACTACTGTAGAGCTTTATTCTATGTGTTTCTGGGCTGTTTTAGAACTCCCAAGAGACAGATTATTCCCAAAGGGACATTATTTCTGACATTATTATTATTATTGTTTCTCTGTTGAGTATCTCTTGACTTTCTGCTAATATTTAACCTAGCATTTTAAAATTATTTATCTGCTACTTGAATAACACCCATGCACAAAACATCAGAAAGCCCTTATTCACTGAACTAGTTATTCACTACATTAAAGTAATCTAACTGTTTTAGAGACATGTTACCACATTCTTTGTAAGTTAATCTTTATCGGGGAAAATGGATAACTCACTGGAGGTCAGGCAGGATGGCACAATACACCAGGTGTGGTAGACAGGAATGTTATTGGGCAGGCTGTAACATTAACAGGAGTGGCAAAATCAGAAAGTTAGCTCACAGTAAGCGTCATCTAGGATGCCCCGAGTATGAAGTTTCAGAGGAGTTTTTTTGAAGTAGTAACCTAGACTAAATGATTTTTATCAGGTCAGGATACATTTACTGCTGTAAGCTCTGGCATGCATATCTCCAGGCTACTACTCAGAGCTCCTAATGGTGTTTTTTTTTTTTTTTTTACTTAAATTACTGAAGTTTCCCTCCTTACTGACCTGCATGCAGCTGGGCTCCAGTAAGATGTGTTTATTGCCAAGATGTGGAAGACAAGCCCTAAGCCTGCAGCTCTGTTACCTGTAACACCGGGACGCAGCAGCCCTGTAACTCCTGAGCTTTGTGTTCAGGTGGAATGTATGTGTACATGGCCTAATGACTCAGCTCAGTGCTCCATGCAGGCCACCCGATCTGCTGAGAATCAGGGCACATCTGGCCAGACGAAATTACATTCCAAGCCAACCCTCGTGGTTTAGAATGTGGTTAAGAACTGGATCTGGTTCCAGTATTTTGTATTGAACTAGATTGTACTGCACGGACATCTTCTGTCTTCCTATTAAAAGGCTTGGTTTTTCTGGGTTGGGCATGAAGTCTACTACTGAGAATACCTGTGCTGCATCTCTTTTTTAAACAAAAATTCTAACATGTCTCTCAACAGAGTCCTGTAATCTCATTTAATTCATCCTCTACAAATACCACCTTGCAGCATTTAAGGCTAACCAAGTATCTTGCTATCTCTGTCAAAAGCCTGGAGTTATTGTTTTACAGGAGATCCTTAGCTTCCTGTTGTTGTGTTTTATTACTATTACACAGAGTACCTTATCACATACCTTGGGGAGCAGTAAGTGCTACTGTGTGACGCACATCAGCACACAGTGCTGCAAATCTCCCTGGAGCCGACATCCAGCCAGGATCACCTTTGGTGGATCACTCACCAGCAAACTGTGAGGGTGCCCCAAGGCCCCAGATGATACTACCAACCTGAAGAAATCAAATATCTTGAATGACAGCTGAAAATAGGTGTACAGTTCAGTCTTTACCACCCTGATCCCTCTACAGGCTGCTGGAGGACCTGCTGGTTTGGAAAACACCCCATGCCTGCACAGCTGCCAACCCCTTGCCTTCCCCCTTCCTTGTCTGTTTGATCTGCTCTGGGGGCAGTTCCAGTGACATCCTCCTCATAAATAATGCCAGCTCAATCAGCTCCTGAGGTGTCCCCCGCTCCTCTTTGCTTCCCCCCTCTTCCCACCTCCCATGTTCCCATACTCTTCCTGACAGCCCTCAGTAATCACACAGGTAAATAAGCCCCCATTCCCAGGACCCACAAAACAGGCTCTTGGATAAAACACCTGATCGCAAAATCACACCCATCTCTGCCTCTCAGAGCACTTCCCTCATAGCATGGAATTCCTTGGGTGTTCCACAGGAGTAGGGTGATTTCCAGCAGCAAGAGCATAAAAGCAGCTACCTCTGAAGAGGGTGATATATTAACCTGCCCATGTCACACCTTCTACTTACCTTCCCATTCCCTCTGCACCTCTATAACTGTCTGGGTTCAGGTTGTGCCAAAGGCTAGCTAAAAAACTCTTCTTTGTCATTCCTGCTATGACAAAAAAGTTTATTAAAACCACTAGAAAACACATTTAAATACCTGTTTTAAGATTCTACCTAGCAGATTCAAAAACGTTGCTCCAATACACTGGGTTGTTTGGAATGGGAAACTGGAAGTGTACAGGGAGATTTAGACTTGCCAGTACTCTTGGGCAGGTGTCAGACGGCATAGAAAGGGTAGGAATTTTGTGGGAGAGCTCATGAGTTGAGGGAAGGTCACAAACCCTACCACACCTGTATTCAGAAATCTGAAAAGGAGAAGGAGGCAGCTGAGGGCTTTAGGATATTATCACAGCCTGTAGTCACTGGCAGGATTTCACAGGCTTTGAGGAGTGAAAGTGGGGAAAAGAACCGGTTGGGACAGAGACATTTTCAGCACAGGCCATGGAAACTGCTAATGAAGGAAAAACAGAATTAAAAGGAACGATTAAGAGTTCCAATATTTTATTGGTGAGTTTGGCATCTGGTTAAACAATACATACATTCGAAACTGGGCATCCAGTAGCTCTCATATACAAACCATCACAGTACCTTGGCAAATTCACAGTGCAGAAGGAAAAGCCATTGAAATGCTGCAGGCTCCCAGGAGCAGGGCAGACAGCAGTAGGTAAGCAGGTTAGCTTACCTAACTAATAGCAGGGGGGTGGAGGAGAGTGTGGGATATCCAGCTCTAGGCATCTGCTTTCCCTAGCTCAAATTAACCAACTAATTTCCCCAGGTGCTCTCTACAGAAACAAGCTTCTCCAGAGGCCAATTCACTGCACAATGTTATACTGCTGCTCTGCAGAGCTCCTGTGAACTTATTCCCTGTTTCTTAGAGGAATACTAATGCTCTCACCAGCGATTGCAGAGCATGCCCAGGGAGATGTGTTGGCTAATTTTGATGCCTAGAGATGTGTGAATCTCCGTTCCCTTTGCCCTCCCTCCAAAGCCACCCATTCTGAATTAGCATGTAAACCAGTGGTATTCACCCCATATTCACAGATCAGGAATTTATCAAGAAACAGGACCTTTCACAGGCTGTCATACATAGCAGACAGACACATAGAGGAAATTCTAATTTCATTCTAATCCTAGACAGACTTTCTGCGTTTTGCCAAAAATCCACTTTTCCACCTCATACGGCACCAGATCTGCCCACACCACGTCCACCACACTGGCACAGGAGCCCATGTGAATGCTCAGTAAGGTGTCCATAAAAGGTGTCACTCCTAAAATCCGACTGATTTGGAAGAAAATATATGGACTTCACTTCCTTGTTTCCAGCTAACTGAACAGTATCTAACTTCCGAATGAACACAATTTACCCAAAGGAAGACTTTTTTTCCATCAATATTGACTGGCTGTAATTATGTATACATTCACAACATAGATGTTCCCTTATTCAAAGATTGCCCAAGTGACAATGCGGAAAACAAAAAGATGCTTCTGGTTTGAAAGAATAATTGCACAGACTGCGGTTTGCTACTATATTAATGCAGCACCACCAGATGCTGCAATTAGAAAGTAAAAGGCAATCAGAGGAATTGTTAATAGTTTTGTGCAGTGTTTAGGCTCCTAACCCTAAAATGCTTCTTTAGGGAAGTGATAATATTTTCCTATGTGATCCTGTGACTTCAGTATAAATGCTAAAGAGGCATTCACACAAGTGTCACATGCTATAACCTGTGCTGGTTTTGGCTGGGGCAGAGTTCAATCGAATCACAGAGGCTAATACGGGCCTGTGTTTTGAATTTGTGCTGGAAACACAAATAAAACGGGGATGTTTTAGTTATTCCTGAATTATTCTTGCATGGCCTCAAGAGCTCTTCTGCTTCTCATCCCATCCCGCCAGCAAGTAGGCTGGGAGTTCACAAGAATTTGGGAGGGGACACAGCCAAGACAGCTGACCCTAAATGACCAAAGGGGTATCCTGTACCACAGGGTGTCGTGCTGACCATATAAAGGTGAGGAAGGAGAAGGAAGGGGGGGGAAGTTCAGAATGAGGGCATTTGTTTTCCCAAGTAGCCCCTGTGCACGACTGAGCCCAGCTTTCCTGGGGATGGCTGAGCACCTGTCTGCCCGTGGGAAGTGGTGAATTAATTCCCTGTTTCACTTTGCTAGCACATGCAGCTTTTGCTTTACCTGGTAAACTGTCATTATCTCAACACACCTTTTTTTTCCCTCACTATTACCTTTCTGATTCTCTTCCCTACCCCACAAGGCAAGCAGCTGCGTGGTGCTTACCTGCCAGCTGTGGTTGAACCACGACATAACTGCATGGCTATCTTTGCAAATTGCTCCATTTTCTACAGTTCTGTTCTAAATTTATCACTATTTCTAATGAACTTCTCTGTTTCCAGGAGCACATTAGTTACTTTTTTTCCTTAAAGGCAGGATATTTATTATTTTTCACTGTTATCCATTCACATGCTGAATTAGATACAGAACACAAACGAGGCACAATAATATGCTGCTTCCACTACAACAGAAGAAAAATATTTAGATTCAGTAGAAAGCAGGCAGGCAAAGCATTAGTTGAATACATGTTCCTAATCTCAGTTGGGAAAAGATTTGTATGCTGGCACAGGACACCAGAGAAACTGAGTGAACTAACATGGCAACTGTCAAGGGACAAGATTTTTCTCCTATTCTGGTTCGATACGAATATGGATTCTATTTAAAGGCAGATGACTTCCACTGTGAAAACCACCCACGTCCCCAAAAAATGAAACCACACACAAAAGCACCGCAAACCTAACAACTAGTTGGAGCAAACGCACAGAACAATTCAGGGCATCTGGAAGAAAAGGCCAGGACTGTGGTGGCACAAGCCCTGCATATCAAGTAGAGAGGTGGAAAACTCAACAAGAACTTCATTGTAGATAATACTCCTTTCTAGAAAATAGCACATGAATACTATCGACACACATCTCATTTTCAGACGTATCTGGAGTGGGGGGAACACATCTCAGAAGAGAAAAATTATGTATAGTATTTACAGTTCTCCAGGAAATGCTCTCAGGGATATTTCCAACTGAACCACAAGAAAGCCCGTTGTTGCTAGGTTCCTATCTACCTGAAAGGACAGCAATGCATCGGTGTAGGCGAATGCTGCTTTGTTCTGCTGCAAACCAGAAGGCACATGGTATAGCCCAGGCTCTCCAGATCACCCAGTCAGAGAGTCAGTCTAGGAATCACAAGTAACTGAAAACAAGGTAATAAAACAGAAACAGCAACTGCTTGATGGCAACAGTGAGTTCTACCCCTACAGCTTTTCTGTCTGCCATGTTCTTGCTTCCCTAAGAGCAGCCTCAGGAATAGATTTTCTCTGGCTCTTCACAGTACTGTTGGATCACCTCAGCAAGGTCAAGGCACCTCAAAATTCTCCATTTCTCAGCAGCCAGCTCTTCCTTGGATACCTGGCCCAGCAGTTTTTTGGCAAAGAGGTTCTGATCCTGCATGAAAAGGCCCACAGAAGACCTCGGGGCTTGAGGGAAGTTCTCCAGGCAACCACTTGTGAAACAGAAGTTGATTTTCTTTTCACGTCTCATCCCTGGTCCCCTTTCTTCAATCCAAGTCAGAGGTCTAGTGTGAAGGAACAGAGCAAGAGTATTTATTAAGAAATGGAATCAACAGCTCTATGTGCTTTTTTATCAATATTTACAGAAAGTGCTCTAATAAATGCACCGTTTTTAAATATCAATCACTGCATATTCAGGCAACGTGTTCTGAAAAACATGTCTTGTGCTTACAGAGCTCAACAGCAAGTAATAGTCTTAACTCTGCCACTTCATCATGCCATGGCTTCCAGCACACCATCTACGCTCTCTCCAGATTTGTTTTCCCCATGCACAAAGTGAAGCCAGCAACGTCTAGCCAGCTCACAGGCAAGAGGGAAGTTTAATCTGTTTGTTTGTGGACTTGGATGAAAAGTGCAGGTAAACATTCAAGTATTTTGTGCATGATTCAATCACAGCTAATCCCACAAGGCCCTCAATGGCTAGTCATTCCTTCAGCAAGAATAAATTTAAGTCGTTCAGGTAAATAATGATGTACCTGCAGCTGCTACAGTGTGAGCTGAACCTCATCTCTTTCTGATGAGCTGGACAGGTGGCAAGTTCACTCACACAGACACAAGCGTCCATACTCTCTGAACTTTGAAAATACGTTTTTCTCTACACCGGGAGCACTGAGCTCCGAAAAATTATAGCAGAAAATGACAATTCTTCCTATTTCAGTTCTCAGGCTGGTCTTTCTTAATCAGAGCAGAGTCCTGTCTTATGCCAACTTGATAGCTACAGTCTCTAAACCAAGCACTGATGGTACTGTCTACTGACTTGCACAGCTCGCACTTTCGCCCCCAACTTCCCATACTGGCTGAGGAAAGAGGAGCCGTGGGACGTGCTGCATCAGTTCAGGGTTCTCAGCAGACTCTCTGATGCAACACTGCAAATGCTTGCAAAGACTTTGAGGAATGGTCCTCAACACTAGAGACAGCCACAATCCTCCCTCCTTGCTCTTTTGTCAACTGCCTGAACCACGCCATTACCTTTCCGCAGCTCATTCATCAGCACTCACTGCTGCCCGTGTTTAGAGGATGCACATTATTTTTCTTACTCGGTTATTGATGGCCCTTCCACAGTCCTTTATGGCCCACCATAGTCTGCCGTTCACAAATTATGAAGGCATCAATAGCCTGGAAGAACAAATTCTGTCTCCAAGTACTGCCCATTAAATCTTCAATATCATTAGATCCGGAAGGAAAGTCCTTGTCAATCTACCCTGAATGCATTCTGCAGAGCGATCAGCTTAATGATTCTGCATCTCTCATCTTTCATACTTTAGGATTCATTTTTTATACTTACATCACTGCACAATTATTCTTTGCTCACCTGTACTGCCACACCACACCCCCCTCTAAAAACCAAGTACAACCAGACGAACCCACCTGAACAGAATAAAACAACTGGAGAGAAAAAAAAAAATACCTACATCACAGCCTGCAAGAACACACCAAAAAAATCCTCAGAGGACTAATAAATGAAAAGACACCACGGGTTTTAGGAAGTCTCAAGGCTACATGTCACTGCAAGCCAGAAGGGCGCTTGAGGGCCATATCACCCAGTGCTTTCTGCGTTCTCATCCTCCTTCCCTGAGGTTAAGGCTGTTGATCTGGGTCAGAGGCTGCTGAGCAAGCGATGCTTCGCTCTGACTTGACAGAGCTGGTTTTATATTCCTGTGATAGTAAACAGCCACAGAGGGTTCAGGTCACTGTTATTCAAAGCTGCCGTTCCAAGGTAGGCAGGTATGAAGAAACCACCGGGCAGGCATAGGCAAAGATCTCCATCATGTAATAGCAAGGAGTTCACAAATATGATCCAAACCAGGCCCTGTCAGCGCAGGGTCACCTCTCTGGGGTGATCTAGAGCAGATGCACACCAGTGATCAGGCTCAAGTGTACGCCTTCTGCTCTAGCTTGGCTAAACCACCGAACCAGAAGCACAATCATGCAGAGCAGGCAGAATTTAATCAAAATGATTAGAATGACTGATTCAGATCAGTGAGCAGGAAAATGTTGGGTTTGCTAATAGATTTATCTCCTTCTGCAATTGGATTTATAGTCATCTTCCCAAAGAGAGGTTGATGCTACTTGATTGGTAATCAAAACATATTCTTTTTAATTACAACAACTTCTAGTCTAAAATTGCTCTCTTATTTTGCTATAAAGATATGTTGTAAGTCCACACATTATTTAAGCAAATTTTGTAGCTTAAGAAACAGGCTAATATTTTATGTCAGCAAACTGTGAAGGGCTGCTGCGTTTTTCATAGACAATTTACCCATTTTCGTTAAAGATTTGTATCAGAGTATTGTCTGGCTACAGATGTATTTAGTTATTTAGAATTGTTAGTAGTGTTACTTAGAAGCAACAAATCCAACATTTTTGATAGTTGAATAAGGCCACATTAAATATGTTGGATATTTAAAGACGAAGAAGAAAAAGAAAATTTATTCCAGCATTAACAAACTACCTTTATACTGACTTTCTGCAAAGCAAACAGCCTGCAGAGAAGAAACCATCCTGACTTTCTGTCTTTCTGGCAGAGTTATCCTAGCTACATTTTATTCAGAGATGGGAAGAGACTTTCTGCTTTTCTGATTCCCTGGTTCCTCAAATAATGAGTGGCCCTTGCTGAACTGTGTTAGCTCAATAAACCAAAATGAAGCAAACATTCTTTGTACGTCCAGAAGAACGAAGAAGCTTCATGCTCGAAAGAATTCTGGGTACACTCAGCTTAATATTGTATGCAGCAACTTTCTGCAGAAAGCATGTATTACATTATTTTTTATGAATGTTCAATTTGAAGCTATTTTATTAGACTCTGTAAGCTCAGATGCCCATAAAAACATAATTTAAAATGTTTATTGTCAGAATATGTCTTCAATTTCTTTTAAAAATTTTCCTTTTCACACTTTGAAAATGCCAATATTTTTTATTTATCATGCAGTCAATGAGGGTCTCCCTTAGCTTGGATGGGGATTAGACAATCGGACCCTACCCCTGGTTAACATCAAAACAGACGTTGCCCAAATCATTATCTCTCCAGCTTGCACTAAAAATTGATTTCTGACATTTACTGAATCCAAGCTCTGTAATCCTGGGACAGGAACTGCAGTCAGTCCCAAACCAGACGTGCTGGCAGTAGAGGTTTGGCTTTTCCTGGATTGCTCAATGTTCTCTCACAGAGAGGCTGTCAGCTCAGCTGTCTTGGAAACACAACAGAGGCAGAGGTCATCTCTCAAATAGCTGGGTGCCAGGCATTAACACACACCTCCAAAATCCACCCAGAGACAGACAAGCAGCCAGGGTGGGCTGTGCAGCAGAGACAGGCTATATACCCTTTGCACAAATCCCTGCTTAACAAGCAGAACACAGGCTGCCGCACTCTGCACCTGCTGTATTTTCCAAGGCAGAAAACAGGACGAATGAACCTGTTTTCTCAAGGTTAGTGCACTCCTGTCTTTCACAAAAGGATGGGATAGCTCTCAGAAAAGGTGTGCAGACCTTTCCCATCCTTCAGCAAAATAAAGACTGGGCAAATCAGGGCTGTAACACCACCACCACCACTGCTGCTGGCCCATAACCTCACTTGACAAGAGAGCGGGCCAAACTGTCTGCTGCAGTAACTCCATTGACGTCAGCAGGGGAAGGTCAGCAGGAAATACAGCCCCAGCACTAAACAGAATACAGGAACGCTATGCAACTTTCCAACTGGCATGAATTATCCCAGAGGCGTAAAACTGACTGTCCCCAAAGTCATTAAAACACTCACGGTGACAAAACACTGATCCAGGCCTAAGAAAAGCAAGTATTGGTTAGTGGTGTGGAGCAGGTAAAAAAAAAACAACAAGTAAAACGGAAACAGTTCTGTATCCAGCAAAATATCATAAATAGCAGCTAAGGACTACCCAGGAGACAGGACAGAGAGGGAAATGTTTAAACCACCCGCTAGTTCCACCTGCTGGAATTAGTTCAAAATCTCACTCTATCCAGATCTTTACAGCTACTTGTGTTACTAGCAAATTGCTAAGAGGGTAAACAGAGCTTGTATACAGACTTCTGTTCCTCTCACAACTGCATTTTAAAAGGAATTGGAAATGATGTTTTATTCAAAGAGAGAGAAAGATTGCTAAAACAAGATGCTAATTCCAAGATAAACACCATTGAGCTTTGTAGGAGTGGCTGATAAAATGCTTTACAAGACCCGTGGTGAAACTAACAGTTTAAAGGAGCCCTGATTATTCACTCCCCAAATACTAGTCCTTCAGGTTATTACTTTACCAAAACAGTTTTCTAAAATTCTGTGTTGGGTTTGTTTTTTTTTTTAAGAGTTCTAGCAAGATGTGTGCAACAAAAAAAAAGGGCTATTTGTTACAAATGAACATAGGCCAGAATATTTTCCCATGGGGTCTTACTTTCCCCTGCTCTCCACGGTCTTTTCAGTATGTCTCTTGTCATATGCCTATAAAGGGTCATCTATGTCAAAGGCAGAGCATGCTATATAGAAAAACAGGAAAACGAGAGTAAAAAGAAAGGAACAAATTGTTCCATCGCTCTTCCTACCTCCTAGGAAACACACAGAGCTTGGGTAACTTCTCCATACCTTTTCACATCAGATAATTCTCGAGTTGCACCTATAGCACACATTAATCTGTCATAATCAGTAACTTCAACCTATCTGAAAGGACAAACTCTGTACAGATGGTCCAGAATGACCAAACCTGAGAGTTTTTACCAGACTTTGGACCAAGGTGAATACTTAATCCACGGTTTGAAACACTGATGACTTACTTCATAGTCCTAAGGTATTTTAAAACATGTTATTTTATAGCAAGGCCATTAAAAATATCCTATTTGAAAGAAAAGATATTGTCACCATATACTAAAAAGGAGATCAAACTCAATACTATAAAACGCATCATCTAAAGAGTTTTCTCTTGTACACTTTCATGTCAACATCCAACCATTGTTTCCACAAGAGGAAGAGAGGATACAGAACTCCTGTAGACAATGAGGAGCCCGGCTCATCTGCTGCCACAGCTATTACTCACTTCTTGTTTGCTGTCTGGAAGTGAACAGTCATTCTGGAATAATTCTTTTCCTTCTGCTTTTCTCTGGTGGCAGAGGTGACAGTGAGGTCTCCGAAGAGGTCAATCAGCCAAGTCAGTCGGGCAATTCCACTGAAAGCTGGGAATCCTGATTTGTTTTCATCAAGGACACTACCTGGTGCAACATAATAGAAACTCTTGAGAAATAGGAAGAAGAATAATGCCTTCTGCATAGGAAAGGATGAAGAAACTGCAGAGTTGTAGACTTAGAGATCTGGTTGTAGAAAGGCCATGAGTGGATGGACTGAGTAGTGAAGCCAACACAGTCAGCCTTCAAATGGATCAGTTGGTGACCTGTGGCAGAGAAGGCTGCACAAAGTACATACACAACAAACCCTTCAGGACGTGCTGAGGACAGGAGACTACATGTATATTCAACAAGGGTATAAAGCAGGGAGAAAAAAAACAGCTAAAAAAATCTCTTCAAGCTCTTCTGGGGCCAAACACCAGTACGGAAGACTAAAGGTCTCCCCTAGAAATTAAAAAGGTTTCCTGAGCGCTCAACCTCCTCTCCAAGACCAGTATGAATGAGAAATTTGTCCCTCACACCAGGGTACAGAAGGTCTGAAGGAGTGCTCTCTCCTCCATACACCAAGGCACCCCTCACCAGATAGCAGAAAGAGAGTAGCAAAGCAACAGTCTGTACTGTTAAGGCAAAGCTGCTTTCCAGACAGTTCCATTATTTCATGGAAATATCCAGAACTGATACCTTTGTCCCTACTCAGTTTATAGACAGAGCCTTGTGTAAAAGGACTGACTGAAGCCTGGAGGGACTGGCATTCCTGTGGAGCAGGCAGACAAGTCCAGATGTACCTTGATTTCCTCACAGCTACTGACCTGTGAAATGCAGCGTTCCCTTCACCAGGTCTTTCCCAGCCACCTCTTTTTTCAGCTGCTTGTACTCTTCAGTAAGAAGTTCAATGTGCTCCACATGGAGCACTTTATCTGCCAGTAAAAAAAAAAAAAAATAAATTAAAACACACACACACACACACAAAAAAACCAAGCCAAAAATTAGGACAGATTAAATAAAAGCTTTCTGTGTGAATCAAAGGCATGTCTACACAGTGAAGGCTTCACTAACCACCAGTGGGAACTCACTCTCACATGCCATTCTCATGCATGGCTGGCAAAGTGATGTCAGGAAGAAAATCAAACATACGCCCTGTGCTGAGGCATCAATCTGGGTTAAGGATTTTCAGAAGACAGCAAATATAAAAACTACAGGAACAGCAGCCACAATGTTTAACAGAAACTGTGTAATGAAACCCAATACTCAACTAAGGCTGAAACATGAGTCTTCAGAGTAACGGGTCGATTAATTCTTGGCCTCTTTTCCCTCACATTTCCCTGTTCTGCATTTTCCCTCCCAGGGTAGTAGGAAAGAAAAAGGAAGGGAAAAAATAGCATAATGCTCAGACCAAGATTGGAACAATATGTTAAGGAGTACCTCCCTCCATTGCAATTAATTGGGCTTCTTTGGAATAAAGGTTATGCAACACGAGTTGAATGCGGCCCTCATTCAATATGTGTTTTTCTGGAAGATTTCCAGGAGATTCAGTTTAGGCTGCTAACAGCAACTGCTGCTGCTTCAAGAGAAAATGCATAAATTCTGCTCAATGGGAAAGCATTTGGCGAGCAACACGACAGTAAGTGGTGTTGGTACAGGCAAACAGCAAAGCAGAAATCCTATACCTCCAGTGTTTCAGGACAAAAGCCACAGAGGAAAATTTTAAGAAGCAGTGGTATGAATAGTGCAACTCGCCCAAATAATTGGCACTCCACTCCCACCCACCACTGCTCTTTCCCTTGCAGCTCCTTTCATCCCCACCGACCTCAAATGAACTGCCAACTTCTGACCCTTGTCACCACAGGGATGGGACCACACACTTCCCAGAAATAAAAATATTTTGCTTAGAGATAAATTGTCTTTCAGACAGGGATGCCTTGCTGCCCTGCAATAGCATGAGCAGCTGTGTGTGACCAGCACATCACAAATGCTAGAAGCTAGGAGAGGTGTTCACAGTTTTATTTTGAGGGAAAGAGAGGACAGGGAACTGCTCAAGCCCAATGGCTGCACTCACCAAGTGCTTTACTATCACTGTGACAGAAGGTTCCTTCTTTAACTGCATTCTCAATGTCACAAACAGAGAGTATGTTTTTGTGAGGGCAAAAGTACCTTACTCTGAGCATTCACATTTGTTTCCTTACTGGCACATGCCTTAAATCCTAGATTTGCGCATCTCTGAGACAGGAATACTCTCTTGCATGTGATGACTTACAGTAGGCTGGACACTTGCCTTTCAGTTTGATGCCTGTGATATTACCCAACAGGTAGTACTTTACACTCTTGAGAACAAATGTGTTACCTTTCTGCTCAGCCATCTCCCAGAGCTCATGGGCTGCCTTAGCAGACAAAGCCATGGGGTACTCAACAAGGACATGCTTCCCAGCTTCTAAAAACATTCTGAAAGGGATAAAAGACCAGCCATTAAAGAGAATTTTATTGTAATCATCTCTTACCGCTGTGCAAGTTGCTTCTCATTCCCACAACCAGCTCCATAAGGAGAAGTGCTCAATATGGAGTAACAGAAATAAATGGAAAATCTCCTAGCAAGGATGGGGTAGTGGCTACATTACACATTTGAACAGCAGGGAAACTGGGTTTTAAGTCTTCTTTTTCCACAGAATTCCCTCACTCACCTATATCAAGTCGCTAAAATGCCACAGCATTTTCTAACTTACGGACACCCAAGTAGCTGGAGGGAGGCACTGTCACATCGTTCTGCTCTATAATCTGTGAGGAAAGGCTTTGAATCTTGTTTTAAGCTGCCTGTCCATCAAACACAGGCCTAGATGTATGCAAATGGAATTACTTGGGAAATGAATGCATCTTAAATCCCACTCTCTTCCAGGGCTTATTGGGCGCTCTAGGGAACTCACTATCATTCATTTCAGGCCTCTAGTCTGGCAGTCTCTTTTCCAGTGTCTCTGCAACATCCTCTCTTGCAACAGTTAACACAGTTCCTCTGTGCTTCTAAAATACAAAGGAAAGGGTGTGAAAAGGAAGGGAAAATCCCTCAAAATACCTGATGGTTTCTTCATGACTTCTGTTCTCTGTGCTGATGAAGGCTGCATGGATCTCTTTGCTTTTCAGAGCATCTTCCAGGCTAATCTGCTTGGCCTCATTGATATTTCCAAAACTTCTCCTGCATATTTAGCATAAATACAAACCAGAGTATAGCTGTCACAGTCTATTCTTCACAACTGCATGTTGTATAACAGTACTTAAAAATTGTTCCAATGGACCACTGTCTCACTGAGCTCAACCAGGGTATAACAAAGGCAGCTTAGTTATCCAGGAAGAGTGTGAGCACTTATAGACAAAAGTGGAGTTCACAAGAAAACCAAACAGATGTGCCAGTGTCTAGGTGGTGGTATCAGTACAGAAACTGGCCTGCTATTGAAGTGTAAAGTGCTTTCTGGTTCTGGCATTTTGGTTTTTAATCAGCATCATTACCAAAGAGCCTTTGTAAAAGAGCGACTTAAAAGAGCACTGTGCTCCTATGGGAGAACTTCTCCCCCCTGTCCTGGACAAAGCGGGCAAAAGCACTTGAGTTGGCAGGGCCACGCACAACTACAAGTACAGACAAGCAGCAGAAGGGCAAAGCAGATGCCTGGCTGTGATGGCTCACACCCTGCAACACACACAGCATGTCAGTGCTAGGGGGAAAGCCCTTCTGGCTGGCCACTTGAGCACATCTCCAGCTGAAAATGAAACACACACACTCCCCACAAAAGCCCTTTGCATTACTAAAGATTGGAGCAGGCACCTTGACACTGTCTCGGGAGGGGGGACAGAAGGCATGAAAGCAGGCCACAAGCAGGACTTGAAAGCAGACAGGTAATGTTTGAGTGTGACTGGGATACAAGCAAGATGACTGTGATCCATGCATTTCAACAGCAGTGTTTCTTAAAAAAGGTAGTGGAAACCCTATTTTCAGTGCTCTTCAAGGCCAGCTGTAGCACTGGCAGAGGCATCAGAGGACAGAAGTGTATTTGGCAGGGAGATAAAGGGAGTGACCTAATGAGTCCATTCAGTCTCAAAACAACCCTTCATGATTTAAATACTGAATATACACTCATAATCTGAGATCCATTTATGTACTGCCTAACTATTTAAAACTTTTATGCTCCACTGTAATGGGGCAGAGAGTGTAGCAGGAACGCTCAGAGGAAATACATACTAAATTTCTACAGCTCCAGTCTAGTGAGAAAAACTGCTGATCTCTAAGAAGCAACCTTATTGTATGTACTAAATCATGGGATTTTCTTTAAAGGTGTCTACAGGTTCAATACCTGGCTTAAAAAAAAAAATTACAATTTTATTATGAAGTTGGAGTACTAGGAGTTTTACAGCATATGTTTTTTGTAAAAAAAGCTTTTTTAAACTCTGTAAAACTTATTTTTTAAAACATTTCTACAAATGTTATTCAGACACCAGGTCATTAATGTAGTTGTTGTCTGCACTACCTTAAACCTATAGGACATTTCAGTCAGAGAGAATTGCAATTTCTTCTTATCATACAGATCCTGCAGCAAGAACATCTCTCAGTTTTTATTTTAGTAATTTCTGAAAGGTATTTCACTAAGGCAACCCATTCGTTCCTTGTTGCAAAGCTTTCTGTGCTCATTTCTGAGCTGCCACTCAGAATGACAGGCATACTTGCATAAACTTTCCCTTTTCAGTCAGCCTTAATTATAAGAGAAAAATAAAACTTTGTATCTCATCCCTGACCTCCTCAGATAGTTGTCCTCCACCTGGAAAAACACGCACACCAGAAAAAAATGAAACATTGTGATATACATATGAAACATGCTAAGATGAAATTTCTAACCTGGATACGAATCCAAGGAGTTTCAGGTGCTCAGAAGGGCTGGAAGGCATCGGATTCATCAAGTCTCGGATTCGTGCTAAGCCAGCAATTCCAACTCCAACCACTACTGTCCCAAACATTTTGCTAATCTGTCCAAAAGAAAAAAAATAAAAGGAAAAGAAAGGCAACATTTGTTTGGGGTTTTTTAGCAGGGAGAAAAGCATCTGCGAGGAAAGGTGGGAGGATGGGTTATTCTTGAACCCTGCTTTCATACAGCCAAACCTTATTCAGGTGTCAGCAACAGCTAACAGAGATGTGATGCTGTATGCTACTGAGCTCACTTGAATCCCATTGAAACGTGGTCAGGTGGTTCAGCCTGTCAAAGGACTGGTCTTGAGACTTGTATTTAACAGCTATTAAATCACAGCTCCAGCAAAGTTCTTCCTTTCCGTGAATAGAAGGCAGGCTTCAAAAGTGAGACATTCTTCTATTTATATTGCCACTTCCAGCCTGGAAAGGAGCCAAAAGGTTCTGCAAAACCAGCAGAGCTTTATATAAACCCTGCTGACTTCCTGAGTGTCTGCAGCACGGCCTGCCACACAGTCAGTCCCAGAGCACAGCAGCATAGCTGGAATACTTTGGGACAGGAAGCAAAGAGTGTCTTTTCTTCCCCCACGTAACCACTGGCACGTCCTACAATGTCAGGCTGTAACCAACCATCTAATAACCTGGCCAAGATACTTGCTTGACATTTCCATGCCCAAAGGAAGCTCTGCCAACTCTTTAATGACAAGCAGGCATGTCCTCAAGATCTACATCTCCCAAATGCACATTCCTGCCACAACTGCGTAATGTGGAGGGCAAGACAGGTATTGCACTCACTGGCCAGGCTGCTGGGTAAGGGTAATAAGTTTTTCTGTTGGTTTTGATTTGCTATTGATTTGCAGAAGCACTGAGCAACTGGTATAACCTTTCAAACCTGTACTGCTTCAGCACGCTGAGGACTAGTAACACTTTGTAAAGTAATTGGAGATTTACATGAAAAACGGCCTAAAACAAGTCAGGTCACATCCTCTGCATTTTTTATTCCTTCCATCACATAAAAACACCCCTTCAAACTCTGTTTCTTCTGTCTTCTCCTTCTCACCACTGCCAATCCCTTCATTTGAGTGAACTCTTTGGACTGTTTAGATTTACTGCAGCCCTTCACATCCTTCTGAGACTGAAATGGATAAATGGACAGTGTAGCATCACAGCCTTAAGTGACTGCTCTGGCAGTGTGAGAGGTTGACAGCTGCTGAGAAATTACATCAACTGGCACAAAGGAAAAAAAAGACCCCCTCTCCAATCACATGGCTTGTCTGGATTTTGTTTTCCTATAAGCTCCTGCCTATATTCCTGTCAGGGCTGAACTCCATTCACTTTATATATGCCAAAAGGGTACAAAGATAAAACACAGAGCAGCATGTTTAATGTAAAGGAAGAAATCAATGATATATTGAAGAGTCCTCTATGGGCATTACAGTTACATTTCGTTACCAAATACTTGAGGTATAACGTGATGACGCTGTTCACCAGAGAAAAGAGGGCTGAGAGAGAGGTGGGGGGAAGGAGGGTAATATAACCACACAACCCCAGTTCTTTTCAGTACCAACCACAGGCAGAGTCTTGATCTGGGCTCTGTAACATTTTCTTTTCTCTGTGGTCAAAGAGAAAGAGACCAAGACTTTCAGAATTATCTCAGCTGTGAGGAGGCCCAGGGGGTCACTGGATCCAAACCCTACTCAGTTGCACCAGGGCCATGCTGAGCTCTGATTGTCCCCACGGTTGGCAATCCTCCAGCCTCTCAGGCCCCTGCTGCAGTGTTTGACTGCTCTCACAACGAGAACTTCTTCTTAGCATCTGCATAAGAGTTTCCTGTGTTGCCTTTTGCCATTTCACAGCATACCTCCCAAAAGAGTGTGGCTCCAGTTTCTCTACATGCTCCCACCAGAAAGCTGTAGGCAGCAGTAATAATCCCCTTTACCCTTCTTTTCTGGAAGTGGGACAAACTGAGTTTCCTATGCCTGCCCTCATTCATCATCTCCTCGAGCCATTGACCATCTTCATGTCTCTCCGCAGGACTCACTTCTGTATTTCAACTGAGAATGATAGAACAACTTGGGTTGAAAAAGACCTTAAAGATCCTCTAGATTCAATCCCACCCCCCACGTGCAAGGACACCTTTCACTAGACCAGGGTGCTCAAAGCGCTACTCAAACTGGCCTTAAACACTTCCAGGGACGGGGCATCCACAACTTCTCTGGGCAACTTGTTCCAGCGCCTCACCACCCTCACAGTAAAGAATTTCTTCCTTATGGCTAATCTAAAGCCATTCTCCCTTTTCTTACCCCATAGGCCCCTGTAAAAAGTCCCTCTCCAGCTCTCTTGTAGCCTCCTTTAGGTACTGGAAGGCTGCTATAAGGTCTGCCCAGAGCCTTCTCTTCTCCAGGCTGAACGACCCTTGAGGAATACTCCTCACCACTTGTCTCCACTTGGATATAGTGCTGTCGAGTGCAACCAACCAATCAATTTCTTATCCACTGAGCTAACTTTCCACCAAATCCGTGTTTCCCCAGTTCAGACACAAGGATGTATGCAGGACAGTGTCAAATGCTTTGCACAAACCCAGGTAGGTCCCATCAGTTGCTCTTCCCTATCCACCAACACTATAATCCCATCATAGAAGGCTATAAAATATGTCAGGAACTATTGGCCCTGCCAGGTCCACCATCTGCCAGTTCCCTCAGAAGCCCTATGCATTTGTGCACTTCCAGGTTCCCTAGGAGAAGGCCAGGTTCAAAAACATCTACATTCTCTCAGTCCCTGCCTTTGCCTTACGAGACTCAGGCAGTGTGCCTGGAGCACTTGCCAATGAAGACCAAGGAAAAAAAGTCATTATATACCCCAGCCTTTCCATATCCCGGCTAACCAGGTCTTCCATTTTCTTCCAGGGAGGACCCACATTTTCCCTAGTCTTTCTGTTATCATACTGCTATTCTGAAGTATATGGTTGCAACTCTTTAAAATTTATATTCATAAAGGGCTCCAAGTGTGCATCAGGATCAGGTCAGCAGAATTCAGAAGTAGTCCAGTTTGAAAACAGGAGCTTACTCTACGTTCAGAAATTTTCAAGGTTAGTAGAGTGTTAAGCTGTTAATATTTGGCTATTGCCTTCAGCTGGATTGGGAGCTGGAGTCACACAGCAAACAAATTCCCCTGAAGCTCCTACAGCCATCTCGTTTCCAAGAACTGCTTTTTTTTTTTTTTTTGCTGTTGAGCTGCTGACCTCTGCTTCAACAAAGTGGATAAAGTGGGGGAGATGACTACGTTCTTCAATGAACAAAGAACATCTCTCTGCAGATGCTCGGTTTGCTGAACATCAATATTTTTGCCTCTCCTTTGAAAAAAAAACTTTCCTAGTTTCATCTGATGAACATCTTCTGACCTCCCCAAAGATAATATTTAAGACAAGCAAGATTATTTCAACCTAAGAACAAAAACTGTTACTATGCAACCTGTTGCCTTAGCAACCAGCCATTTGGTCCAGGTCAAGGGTGGTCAAGGGTTTGGAGGCTAACACCGTATCCATACCGAGAGACACCTACCAAATGTATATTACAGAATCACTGCTTACACACATAGCTAAGAGAAAAACTGCTATGTCTGCATCCCTGCTGCAGCGTTTTATTACCCTTATTTTGCTCAGACAACAAAATCTGCAGCTGCTCAGGGAGAAAAGTAAATTAGGTGTTTTTCAGAATTGTTACAAACCAGGTAAGCACAGAATAGAAAATATTCATCTGATGAATATATAAAAATTTACTTCTTATTTCAAACCTTTACATGCTACAGTTATCTTTCAAGCAAAAAACTGAGGAAGCAGGAAGCCCAAATCATAAACTGCTGTGCCTGCCTTTCATGCTTTTTTCTTACTATCAGTGACCTCAGTTAAAGCTTTGACAAAAAAGATTTCAGAGTAATTTTCAAGGCTGCTGGGCTTTGGCTCCCATCATACTGAAAAAAAAAAAAAAAAAAAGAAATGTACTATAACTGATATAACAGTACGTCCAAAAGCATTTTTCCCACCCTTCCCTAAGGGGCTGTACAAGAGCAAAGGGGCTGGTGAGAAGGTTAGGAAAAGATGACCTTCATGCTCCAGGCGCTGTGACTGGGGAATGCCTCCCACACCCCAGCAACACCTGCCCTGGCTGGGCTGCAGGCAGGCCAGCCAGCTTCACCAGGGGTGCCCTCTGAAGTGGGGTACAGGGGATGGAGGCTGCCGACTGCTGCGGGAGCTCCTCCCCACCGACAGCCAGCACCAGTGGCTCCTCTTACCAAGGCAGATGAGTCCTGCACGACACAGAGGTAGAGCTGAGAAAGGCATCCAGCTGAAGAGGATCATTTATCCTACATGATATATCATTGTCCCATCACTCCTCTGCTCTTGAGCTTTCTGTGCTTCTGCTGCGCATTTCCTGCAGTAGATCTAGGCTACTCTGAAGTAAAAAAAAAAAATAAATATATATAGTTGCTCCATACCCAGATATTCTTGCAAAATTTAGCAGTGGGACAAGAATATTCAGCAGAAAAACAAACAATGGACTATGTCCAAAGGGATCAGTCACCCAGCAAGTGTGTTCCTCCCCAGTGCAATCACAGTGGGACTTCAGCCTCTGCATCTCAGAACTGTTTACACTCACTGAGGTAAGCTTAAGGAAAGCGAGGCTTGCCTCTGTTCTGTGCAACATCACTAAGGCCATGCAAAGTCAGTGCAGAGGCAAGATAAAAGGCAGAACTTTAGAACTATGCCATGAAAAATTTTACTGAAGAAGAGATACCTAGACATCACAGAATGATAAGGAGTACCTTCTCTCATGATATATAAAGAATTTCAGTAAGACTCATGCATTTTCCCTGCAGTTTTCACAGCCTCGTTCCCAAAGATATGAATGAGTGACTCACGTAAGAAATCAAAATATTTTGTAGTTCATGCCACATGTAATAACACCGATGCAGGAGGCTTTCCTGAAGCACTGCCAGCTGGGTCTTTTGAAGTGTGCTACTTCAAGTGCACACATATCCTAAGAGCAACAGAAAACTCACAGAT